ATCAAGCCAGTCTAAATTGCCCACATATGGTTAAGCTGCTTCCTAACTCCCATTACAACCATTAACAGCCACACACACCCCCTTAGTTACAAGTGGCAGAAACAAATCAATCCAACTCCCAACGAATGCAATACAATGGAAAACAACAACAGTTGGGTGATGCAGGTTCTGACATCCATATTGTTAAGGCAGAGAATTCCTCATTTGCTCATTCATTTTTCATCCTCGGTCCTCAAAAGCTATGTTAGGGTACTAGTCCACGATGAGTAGTAGCCTACAGAAAATCGGCCAAGGTTGTGTTAAATGGCAATAAAACACCCAGAACAATCTGGGACTGCTAAATTAAATCATAGGTGTATCCAAAACAAAGTAGCATTCCCCACAAAATCTGATGGCGTTTGTGTAGCGCTTGCAGTTATTTATGTACAAATATATAAATTAAGCAGGTTGAAATCCTTAGCATTAGAAAACCCAACATCTGGATTGGGGAGGGGGGAAACACCAGCAACATCCCCTGTGTGCAAAGGGCAGCCTAGTCCGGTGGGTTGTGCGGGTCCCTCCCCAGGAACCATACAGAGTATTGGTCTCCCACCGGCCCCTCCGCCTTGTCTCATGACAGGAAGAAGTCATCGCATGGGTTCTCCTAACCAGGGCTCCCAGATTTGGGCTGCAGCAGTCTGGATGACCCTCAGAGGCAGCATCACAGTCCCACTGAGGGCTATCACCTAACTCTCCAGGCCAGCCAGAGCACCTGGGGAATAGGAGGCTGAAGCGGATCCCAGGCGGGCGGGTGGGCAGGACATGTGCTGGCCACAGCCACCGCAGGGAGCCACAAGTCAGCAGTGCTGGAGCACCAGGGAGCCCTGTTCTTGGCCCCCCGAGCCTTTAGGGTTTTGCAGGAGACCTAGAGTCTCCCAGCAGGCAGAACATAATTCTGAGAGGTTGACCTGTTGGGTTGAAATGACGGCAACAAGATGAAACTCAATAGAGAAAATGACTAAACGCAATTAGATGGAGAACTGGGTTAGTTAACAATAAGTACTGAAAGAATATGGTTAGTTGACAGCATAATCCCATGAAGAATTCTTAAAAACTCATGGTGGAATGACTGAATTAACCTGTTTTGTGGATTTGCAAAATAACCAAAACATAAAATGTTTGTGCACCAAATAACAGCTCCTCACAAAATTTAAACTACAATGTATTGTATAAATACAGCCATTATTTTATGGTTGTCATTATTATGGTCTTTCTCCTAGTTAAGAATACCTAAGGCTGCAGTTTTGGTTGATTACAACTTGATCATAGAATCTAAGGGTTGACGGGATCCAACTTCTTTGCCCAGTGCAAGAATTCACTACTATATCAACTCCTCCAGCAAAGGAGAGTCCACCACCTCCAAAGCATCTGTTTGTCATTGGCCTGATAAGTTTTTGTCACGAAAAGGCCGTTCCCAAAACTCATGGACCCCAGCGACCGTCCTCCCCTCCTACGGATCCATGGGGGGAACGAATGGCACAACCTCAGGTCCCTGGAAAGACTCTGCAGGGGGATCTTTCCTCCACTCCTCCTCGCTGCAAAGGACAAGGCCCAGGAAAAGGGAGGGGGAAATACTGGAGGTGAACAACAACAGGGCAAGGGGTGTAATTGTGTGCCCCATTGCTGCAGTGAGGGGCTCCTGGCCAGAACTGGGAAGGGCATCTGTGGGAGGCCCCTTGCGGTCCCGGTCTGAAGGGGGTTCAGCTGAATGCTGCGAGAAAGGGAGGGGCTTCTTGGAATGTAATATGACGAGAACTGGGAAAATGAAGAGAAAAAGGCTAAATTGCAGGGCAAGCATGTCAGCATCTCTGCAGATCCACAGAGCGAGGGGGCGGAGGCTGTGAGATGCATCATCCCGTCCACCGAATTGTTTCCTTCGTGATGGAGATGCTCCGCTTTCCAGCTCTCTTCCGCTGCCCTGACAGGTTTCAGGCTGGGAAACCAAAGGCTGCTCCCATCTGATCAGCCACAGTGGCTCCGGGAAGGTCTGCGCCTTCTGATAGAGACAAGGTCAACTGTTGCCTGTTGCCGTCCCTGCTCTGTCTCCCTGCTTTCGCTTGCCTTTGATCTCTTTTTGCCAGCTTTGGATGCTTGCTGCTGCTCAATAAATAAATATCCAGCTCTGTTTTTGTTAGCTGTACTGCCTGGTGCATGCGCTTGCTCTGATCTGGATCTAGGGATTGATTGGGGGTGTGCTGGGTGCAACTCAGTTGGAAATCCAATGCAAAAAGGGAGAAGTCTTAATGCAGGGAAGTCAATACGATTTAATGGGCATGACTAGAAACCCGGTGGGATGAAGCCTAAAAGTAACAAAAAGAGCTTTTCTGGATATCTTACATGTGTAAGAGGCAGGGAGAAGAAGGGCCGGCCTGGCAGCTGAGGAAGGATGGCGCGAGGGGCGGCTCTGGGGCTCCTGGGGTGCGTGTGCGAGAGTTGTGGCCCGAGGAGGAGGCCGGGAGAAGAGGCCTTTAGGGCCACTTGGCTGCCACAAGGGAGCTGGAGCTGCCGGGGCCAGGTGGTCGCACCAGGGAGCTTCAGGGAGCCTGTCAGGCCGGGTCTCTTGGAAGAGAGGAGCTGGCCAAGTGCAGACTGGCCCTGTGCACAATGCTGGAATGTGTTATTAAGCAGACAGTTCGTGAGCATTTAGAAAGTAATGCCCAGTGTAGTAGAAAGAGATATATTACAGTGGTGTTGACTCCTGACCCAGTGCCATGCAAAGTTATACAAAACAGACGAGGAGAAGTGGGGAAACACCTTCGAAGCAGGGCATTCCTGTCCTTGGCAAATGGTTAGAGCGGGATTTCGGGCCACAAGACCCAGTGAGCCCTCCACACTCCTCCAAACAGCAGAAAAAAGGAGAAGCCTTTCAGCTGATTTGTACGAGTTTTTGTACAGCCACTTTGGCTTTTGAAGATACCGTCCCTTTTTTTCTTTCTTACTAGAATCCTTACAATTCCACCTTTTAGTCTATTTTTTTGAAAAGAAGGCTCTTATAAGTTGTTGGGAGCAGATAATTTGCTTTCTGTTTTATAATGTGCTATGATTCTTTAAAACATCTCTGTCCCAACATTAATTTGTGTGATACTGACAATGGCTGTGGGAATCCACAAACTAACCCATAATTTGTTCATCCAGGTTGAAGAACCCATGTTCACACACTGCTAAGCCAGAAACCATGGTTTACAAACATCAGTGGCTGAGTTTGCCCACTGCAGCTAGCCAGATCCAAACCCACCACCTTCTGGGTTAGTGCCATGTGTGAACAAACCACTGGGAAGCGGTTTCCTGGGCGTTGTGGGAAAGCACCTCTTGGCCCGGGAAAGACCGGGGGCCCATGCGAATTGTTTGTCTCTTCTAGTATTACTGCTGCAAGAAGGATGAATCGGAAGAGGATGGCGACGAGCCGGACTTCCCTGCGGACTCCCACATCCCCCCCCTGCACTGCAACCGCAACGTGGCTCTGACCAATGGCCCTTCCTTGTACCGCTCCCCGTACAAGAAGCCCTCCCAGTCCTGGACTGCCTGCCCCAGCTGCGCCCAGTATGAGCCGCCCACGTTCTTCCTTCAGGAGCCAGAAGAGGAGGTCCGCAACGGGGGTGACCTGGTCAACTACAAGGCCATCAGCCAAGAGGACCTGGAGCTGCCCGTCGGCCTGAGCGGCGGCCTCCAGGCGCTCAACCCGAACCGGCTCTCCGCCATGCGCGAAGCGTTTTCCCGCAGCCGCAGCATCAGCACGGATGTCTGACCGGCCTTGCCCCCAGCCCAGGGGGCGCCTGCTAAAGGCCCCCCCCCCCCCCCCCCC